GGTCACCTCCGGGGCAGGCAGGAATCGAACTCATGCGGAAGCGGCTTTAGATTCTCAGTGCTGTGCTTTAACCCGCTGTGCCACCAGGGAGGGCCAATGGAGCTTTTTTTTTAAAGATTTATTTTATACATACAAGAACTGTAGTATAGGCCGGAGATTTCATTCTAGGTAGTAAGAGACTCAGACCCAGATTTAGCTATGTGAACCTAAATTCACACTGCTTAATTTCTTCACTCATAAAATGAAAGATTATTTTATTTCATTTTAAAGATTTATTTATTTATGCATACAAGAACTAGGGTACAGGAGGATAGGCCAGAGGTAGGAGGGTGAGAAGATTCACCAGGGACAGAGTGGGGAGCAGAATAGGCAGATGTACTAAAATACACTGCTGAGGGGAGCAGAGGGTGGGACAAGAACAGTCTGCTATGCCATATGGGTCACCTCCCTGGCCGAGGATCGAACTTGAGCTGCAGTGGCCACGGATAGCTTCATAGTGCTGCGTTTTAAGCCACTGCGCCACCAGGGAGGGCCTGACTAATAGAACTTTTAACCTCAGTTTGGTTTATGGTTCATCAGAGGCTTCTAAGGATGTGCTTAATTTCTTATTAAGTGTCCTCTTTGAGAATTAAAAAAGAAAAAGTTTTACAGAGAAATTCACTGATACAAATTTGACCAAAGAGGCCCTACGAGGTTTTAGAGTTTTAGGAATTGTTTTGAATGGCATTCTACACTCTCTCACTCTGGTAATTCAAATGGTCTCCAATGCTGCACACCTTTTAAACTGCATATCTCTACAAATAAAATGTTCTTGAGTCAAATGCATGAGTCATGTGGATATATATGCATGTACTTGTACGCACACACACACACACACACGTTTCTATGTACATACAAACACAGAGACACAATTGCACACTTGTCCCACTGTGTACGTATATTCCGTACATTAGAAATTTCATGAATAAGAAATGAACATAAATTGAATTTTCTAATATAATTCTATTATTTCCTTATGATCTCCCAAGGGACACTTGTGCAAGAACCTATCTAGTGTTAGTGCTACTTGATCTCTCAGGGGAAAAAATGGTTCAACACTGTCAATGGATTTCTGTGGTACAAAGACGCCTATCACTGTCACTGATTTTTGAGCTACTAACATGATATTAATTGGCTGGTAAAACCTCTGAAAATTCAGCAGTTCTTTTTCACAAGCCAGTACAGGCGGAGTCTGGCATACCAGGGCACACACATCACACTTTGGAGATCAAAGTCATAGAAAGCATACTGCAATAGCTTAAAAATAGTTCTCCAATTTAAAGGTTCTACATATTAATGAACAGAAATGTAAAGAAGTAAAGTTTTATACAAAATTATAACTTTTAGACATGAATTACATTTAAAAATCTGAGAAAATCTTCCTGTTAAAAACATGGCTTGTACTTGAAATGGGTGGAGATCATTTTACAAAAATTACATCTTAATAAAGTTGATTTTTTCAAAAATAGCTCATTTGCTTTCTTTGACAAAATAACCCAAACAAAATATAAGACTTGGCTCTAAATATCACAGTAACATACTACTCTAACCTTTGTATTTCATAAGACAGAAATGGTTTATTTTTTTATTATTTTTTTAAAGATTTATTTATTTGTACACACAGAACTGGGGTACAGGCCAGAGGCTCAGGGACGGTGAGAGGCTTCACCAGAGAGAGAGTGGGGAGTAGAACAGGCAGATCGACGAAGTACACTGCTGAGGGGAGCAGCGGGCGGGTCAGGAGAGGTCTGCCACGCCATGTGGTCACCTCCGGGGCAGGCAGGAATCGAACTCATGCGGAAGTGGCTTTAGCTTCTCAGTGCAGTGCTTTAACCTGCTGCGCCACCAGGGAGGGCCAGAAATGGTTTATTTTTTAAAGAAGCAGGACTAGGATTTCCTCATTGAGGGTATGACCAATAATGAGTAACTGCCAACATTTTAATGACTACCAAACTTAAGACTACTTAAAAGTTACCAATCGTTTTCTGATTATTCGATTTTTATTTAAATGTAGAAACATGGATGTATTCAGTAGACTAAAGACATATTAAGTATCCTTTTTTTGAATTAAAAAAAAAAGAGAGAAAACTGATGGTGTAAAGCAGACACCAGAGAAGCATGGAGGGCAGGTTAAGTAAAGCATACCTGATAAAGCTTGATTATGTGAGGGTGGTCTAAGAGTTTCATTATCTGTACTTCTCGGTAGATTTTCTCAAGGTTCACTGCATCCAGCTGAGATTTGTCTATTATTTTTATTGCCACCTGCATCCCAGATACAAATAAATATAATTAGTATATAATAGTTAACATTTTCCAGTTAAGAATCTTAAAATGTAACCTGAAACTTGGCCTTGGATACCTGTGGTAATGCCAGTTACTATTCATACTGCAAAGTTACTTTAATAAAAAGTTCTTCTTTCATGACTACTGTTATGTCTTTTTATGCCATTTAAAAACCAAAGAAATAAAATCTCAGTGGTTTCAACTGTTTATCATGCTACCACACAATACCTACAAACAAATGATCAGTGAAGTGGAAAACAATTTCAATTGTACTGTAACAGGATTTTTTCCTAGAAAAGCAAGTGATAGGCTCCAAGAAATATAGACATACCTTTCTGGGAAAAAAGGGTGAATACAAAGCTTTAAAAAGCACATGAAAAAGGAGTAAAAGCAAAAAGTTCAAAAATTCAAATGTTCACAATTATACCAAAACTTTAAGGAACTGATCTTTTAAAAATGTGGCCTCTTCCTCATATAACTAGACCTAACTATGTTAACAATTTGAAGATGAATAACTAGGTAATCAGAAATAAAGATACATATTTTTCCAATCATGAAAAAGAAATGATTTTTTTTTAAATTGGTACCTGTCTATTTGGAAATACAGTATTCAAATTTAAATAAAAATTTTCAGGTAACTGGGAACCACTGTTTTCCTCACAGCTGCTCTGTTCTCTACTTTTTTCTCTCTACCATAAAATTTCCTTCTTACCCTCCCCTAGTTGTATAATAATTAGCTGTCCACAGCTTGTTTCCTGATTTGAATTAATTGTAGCTGACAAAAGGACCCAAACTTTCAAGGGGAAATCAAATTACTAAATATATATGAGTAAAATTAAATTTGTTGTCTAAGAAAGGGGGTAGCTGCTCTTCCTCTGGGCAGCAAAGTACATAGATTTTGCAGTATTTTCATAATGTCTGGTGGTGTTTTATTGACTTTCATAATTAAAATATTATAGCAAGCAAAAGATGTAAAACTTAGGCAAGTAAGTAGATCAATAGTGCACTTGCTATGAGAGACATTATTGAACCATCTCCAACCTAAACACACTTAAAGAGATACCCAACTTGCCCAGTTAAAACTGTGATAGAATACATACATTACGGTCAATCACTTTAGGTAACAGATGTCAGATAAAAAGGTAGGTGTATACTTAAATTTCTTCAATATTCCTTAGAAAGAAAAAATGGAGTATCACACATTTTGAAGAAAGGGCCTTATCCTACAACTTCTGTAGTGTAGCAAGATACCGGCACCCTTCCCCCAACAAAGACTTCCTGATCCAAAAAACGGACCCTATCCATCAAATTAATAGAAAAGAACTGGAGAGAAAATAATCATGGTTTTTAAAATCTTAGCATGAGTCCCACCATTTACAAAAATTTTATTCTATGTAATACCTTGAATATCATATTTAATGTTAAAGAAAAGGTTTGGATACTAAATAGCAATAAAAGTAATATATCACTAAGAAATATTTCTCTTACATCCTTTTGGAACTTTGGCCTTAAATAATGAAAAAGTGAAAAATATGTAATCTAATTAAACTTTCATAATAAAAAACTATAAACCTTTTCTCAAAAAATATCTCATGGCAAAATGCAATTCCTCAATTTTTTCTTGGGTCACAAATTTTATATATATATATTAAAAATATAAATGTACATATCTATGTAAATGTGCACATAAACACAAATACATATTATACACAGATATATACAACACAAGTGTATATATATATCATTATGCATATGTGTCATAGTCCATATTTGTTATGAGGGTTATGAAAAACTAAAGCACTAAAAGGAAAGAACACGTTAGCATGTTCCTTATAATAGTTAGGGCCTGTGCAAGTGCTTTAACAAGCAGAATCCAAAATTATTTAAATGTAACAGAAGCTTCTTTATAGCTCATGCGTAGATATGGATGGGTAAAGTTGGCAGATGGCCCTCTTCCAGGGAAGCATAAGAGTTTCATGGCGGCTTTACTACCTTCGCAATGGCTGGCATGACTACCCTGAAGGTGGCCAGAGAAGAAAAGCCTGGAGGGGCCGTCCTGAGAAGTCTTATAGATTAGGCCAGGGAGTGGCACATATTATTTCTATTCTATCTATTGGAGAACTCAGAGATATGACCGTATCTAATACAAGGGAGGCCAAGAAATAGTGTAGTCATAGGTTAGGGAAGAGGTGGAAACAGTGGAGTTTGGGGAATCGTTTAGCAGTCTCTGCTGAATGCTTCCAGGTAATTTGACAACAGACTCTTCCTAGTCTGCAAATATAATGATGATGATAAGGAGAATGACTTTTACAACTACACAACACTTTAGTGAGATATCTTATATATTTTATCTATCAGTATCTTAATGTTGTGCAGTAAATAGAACAATATACCCATGTTTGAGAAAACTGAAGTTCAGAAAGTGTTCCATAATCTACAAAGGTTAAAGAGCACAAGTGAATTAATAGGGGGGAAAAAAAAACAAAAAACAACAACATGGGGTTTCTAACTCCAAGTTCAATCATCTCATCATTTCAAAGAGCTTATTGTTTACACATGTACTGGGCACCTATTGTGTGCATGAAATGATATCTGGGAAACAAAAGTGAACAAGATCTGATTCCTAACCTCAAGGAATAGGACTGCGAGAATAAAGGAGCCTTTTGGAAAACAAATTTTATTTGCCTGCATTTTGGTATTTTCCTAAGGCCACTTCAACTCAAGTTCTATCCACCTTCCCACCCCCACCCCCCAGTGAGGTGACCCATATGCTGCAGCAGACTTCTTTCTCCCCCGCTGCTCCCCTCAGCAGTGTACTTTGGTGATCTGCCTGTTTGGTCTCTGCTCTGTCTTTGGTGAATCCTCTCACCACCCTTGTAATTCTGGCCTATACTCCAGTTCTGTATACATAAATAAATAAATCTTTTTAAAAAATTTAAGGGAAATGACTGAGATTTAAACCTTTAAAAAAGAAAAAAAAGATACCAATGAACTTGGTATAAATTCTGAGGACTTATTCTCTGCATCCTATCTTTTACTTCCAAAATCTACAAGGCCAAGACAAAGTCAAGCAACGGACTCTATAATAATCAAGGACTCCCTTTTCTTTATTCTTTATATTGTTTAAGCACTCTAATTTTGAATTATGCAATCATTATCCTAAGAAATCCCTTCAGTAAATTTTTATGCAAATAAGAACTCGGGATTAGGCCTGAAGTACTGGGGGTAGGAAGAAGATTCACCAGAGGGAGAGCGGGGAATAGAACAGGTGGCTCTACTGAATACACTATTAAGGGAGCTCCCTGGCAGGGATTGAACTCATGGCACAGTTGCTGTTGATAGCTTAGTAATGCCGAATTTAACCTCTGTTGATAGCTTAATAATGCCGAATTTATCCTTAAGCTCATGCATTTAAAGATATCACACATACCAAAGTGGGTTTTGGTGACTTTATAAAGATGTTATGCAGCAAGACCTATTCTTCTAGTAACAAATCAAAAGGAATTACCATCTTTGCTTTCTCAGGTAATAGCTTCAGTGTTATTTACTACTTATATACTAATTCTATACTGTCCTTTTGAAATATCAAAAAGCGTGATCTTTACCATACAATTAGATCTTAAAAGAAGTTAAAAGTATAAACACACTTCTTAAGCTAATACATCAAATCACAGGTAGAGGCCGTTAATACGGTTTATTATTTGATTGAAGTGGGAGTATGAACGTTCTATAGTAAAAGGTTTCCGAAAGCAGGAAAACTGACCAGACTTCTCTAGTTATCCTTTAAGATAAATTATTCTTTTTCCAATTAAAATTCTGACTTTTAAAAAATATTAGAATTTATATAATAAATCCTCATTCAGATATCATTTAACTTGTATGATGGTAGATAAGGAAAACAGGTTGGAGGAAAACTAAATGTCATTATACCTGTACAGCCCATGAAAACTGAACTGAGAATTCTTAAAACTATAAAAGAAGTGATTTAAAATGCTAAACCAATCAATAAAGAACAACAGAACTTAAAATATGGGTCAAAGGATAAAAAAACATGTCACAAAAGAAATGGTAATAGTTAGCCATGTAAATCTGTGTAAAGAAATGCAAACCAAAACAAAAACATTATTTTTCCTCTCAAGCTAAGAAAGATTTAAAAAATAATATTCTTGGTAAATAAGTATTATTCCTAGCATTAATTAATAGGTACTCCTTATCTGGAGAGTAACTTGGTACCTCCTTATGACATAAGATATGGATGTAAGGACACCCTGACCCAAGAATTTGGTGTACAAGAATGTATTTATCTATATGGAATGCCTTATATTAAACATTATTTTAATAAGAGAAATAGCAGGAAAGAGAAATAATCTAAATTTCAGCAATAAGAGATCAGTTAAGCAGAATAGATGTTCCTATGACACATAAGATTTAGCCATCCTTTAGAGAGTTTTTTCTATTTAAAATATGGAGAAATGTCAACACATAAAGTGAACAATCATAAAAAACATCAATTTTATTACTTACATGTAAAATATATGTTTACAACTACAGGCTATGGACTAGTAGTGTATTAACAGTGTTGTTTCAGTCTGGATGGTGGAATTAGGATGTTCATTTTTTTCTTTGAGCTTTTCAACCATGTCTACAATAAACACACATACCTTTTGGGAGCTGGGGTAGGAAGCATAAATTTTGGAGAACTACAATTTTGGCATCATTTTTCAGTTTAAGCCATGATCCATTGCTTAACTAGTTTTAAGTTTTTTTAAATGTTTTCAAAAATCAAGTTTCTGGTGAAATTTCCAAATGTAATTATCTTTCATTCTTCTAACGATTTCAACTAGATATGTGGTCTGTTAGTGTTTGAAAGTGGAAAAACATTCTCCATAAATATATTGTATAAAGAGACTTTTACATAAATAACTTATTTCAAATATATGGAGGAAGAGGCAGGAAAAGAGGGGAGAAACATCATAACAAATTTCTGGAATCCATTTGGCTCCAAGGAATGAATGCAGTAAGCAGTGGGCCATAAATCAAATGTCACCATGAACACCCAAGAATGGAGGTCAGTGTCAGTTATTTCCAAATGAATGTGTTATTTTTTAATTGCCTGATACGGAGACAGAATCTCCCTCAATGGGATTAAATCAGATACATTTAATTCTGTAAAAGTTAAAAATTTCTACAGACTATAAAAATTTATGAAAAATGTAAAATTCAAATGTATTTAAAAAATAAGGTCTTTTCCAACAAACATCATAATCGGAGTATAATATTCTCTTCTCTTGTTTCTATTCTTGCCCAATAAATGCACTTTTCATACTTAAGCCATTTTGGAAAGCTCTATAATTTTTAACATTTTAAGATAGTTATTAGTTTAGGAATTACATGTAAATATGAAAGTCCCAAAACGAACACCGCTTTTTAGTGAAGAAAGCAGTGTTCAGATGTCCTTTCTATCAGTTAGCATTCCTGGCTCTGTTAACACTAAGTCAGCCCAATCAACATATCTTTATAAGAAGGTAGTTTGCAGAATCTCTTTGAAAGAAATCAACGGCTACACAATCACAGACTCTTTAGCTAAGCATTCTAAGTATACTCAACTGTCTGTCAAAGAGATGATCTGAAAAGAACTAATGATGGTTATCTACTGGAAGTGGCACTTTGCTTTTCATTTATCTACACTTTAAAATTTTTTCATAACAAACATGAAACACTTGACAATAAAAATATACTAGAAGACAAAAATAATACCTTCTCATTTGGCAATTTCCCTTCTAGGAATTTACCCCTAATTCCTCTTCCCTAAAAGTAATCTTAAATGCAGCCACAGAGTTACCAAAACAAAAATGTTCATGGAAAATTATTGACTGTACATGAAAACTGGGAACTATGTAATGTTCAATAAGGAACTCATTAAATAAAACAGGAGTCATCTAAGAGGTAGTAAGTATACTACCTCTTAGTATATAGTAAGTATAAAACTGGTTTACAAAGTTACAGAAAATAAAAATCCTAAGCTATAATGATAAGTGGAATAAAGGATACAATTTTAAGTATATCATGTAATCCCTTCTATGGAAAAAAATGCATTAAAAATTTAAGACTCAAGGAAATATACCATAATGATATGAATGATTTATTCCCACTGGTGGAGGAATATACATGTACTTCTTTGCACAGTATATTTTTTCTATAGTGAGACATTATTTCTTCACTAGTAAGAAAACAAACAAAAAATTGAAAGGCACAATGACTTTTCTGGGTTGTTATTTAACAGACAAAAAAAAAAAAAAGAAAGAAAGAAACAAGCAAAAAACTAGTCATACAATTAAAAGAAAATATTCCTTGCTAGTATATTACTAATAAAACACTACTCAAGGACATTCACGGCATAGCAAGCTAGCAACCACAACTGCCTAAAATAGTTTTAACAGCCTAAATGCTATTATTCTCTCCCCATTATGCTAATTTTATAAAATTAGCTACTTTAATTCATAAACCACAAAACAATACTACAAAGCTTTTATGAAGTATTATATTAAGAAGCTGGAGTCTACCACCACCTGTCATCCCTTTTGTGTGAAAAATCTACATAGGGGAACTAACATAAGACTCCTGCTTCAGATGATGTAAATATATTTCTTAAACAATGTTAAGCTCTTTGATAGAACTAAATAAATATTTATTTTCTCTTCTATTTTTTTCCCCTAAAAGGCAAGCAGTCTTGGATCTCCCAAGCTCTGTAGAAATATATCATTTTTGAGTGATACAGAACAAGAGACAGAGAAGAGCCAATTAAAACTAAAAGGGGCCAACTGTTCATCGCATAAATGTTTAAACTAAGCCTGAAACTTTGCCTTGGGTTTAAACACGGGGGAAGTTTTAAAACATACAAACTTATATTGATGTTAAAGCTTAGCATAATGGAAAAAGCTTTCATAGTCAGTAAGAATAATCACAATACTCTGCTGGTACTATCCTTTTATAACATGTTAACTGTCCTCACTATAATTACTGTGGTATATTCAGCAATGAGGACCTAAGATAATGTTAAATAAAAGCTGAAAGTTTCCATTAACTATCTTATAATACTTGAGATAATCATCGTATTTATCAGACACAAATATGTTCCCAGTTTACAAATGAAGATAAATAAATCTCATTAATAACATCGTATACTTTAAGAAACAATTGTGCCTATGCTGTTGCTAAAAATTTCTTACAAATTATCAAAGAAATTCACAGCCTAACGTCACAGTACTTGAGAGCTACAGGAACTTTTCATTAATTATCTTAACTATAATTCCTCTTAACTTTAATCTCTAATCACCACACCAAAATTACCATAAATTTACAGATCCACCATCTTAAATTCAGTTTCTTTTTATATATTAAGGACACTAAAATCGAAGGGAGATGTGTTCCGTGTACTAGACATTTAGCTTTTAATTTAAATAACAATATACTACTACACACAATTAGGATGAGTGCTCTTTCATGATCTGACCTGTGTCTTCAATTCCAAATGCAGTGAGCTCACTCTCGGAGCCGTCATGACACCACGTCACAGTGCCCCCTAGCTCTACAAGATATATCTGTTTGAAAGGGACAGGGCTTCAGCTGTCAACCTCAAGGAAGGCAATCCCTCCCTATCAGTCCCAAATTAGGGACTGATAGATACCATATCAGGAAAAGGTGACCTAATAAATAACAGCTGATTCTTAAATGGTGGGACTAATACTAATAAGAACTGCTGAGAAAAAACAATTGACAGATTTGAAATTCAACTACATAACAATATAGTTCAAAAGTTCCGTAGACGTTCTAGGTAATGCACAATTGTTTGATTTTTGGCGATCACTTAGCAAGGACTCATAAAAGTACGCATTCAAAAATGCCTTCTTTTCAACAATTTAAATTGAAATGGCATTGCATTTAGGCCATGTGTTCTTCAGAGGAATGGAAACAGTTTGTTTCTTCATTTAAAAAAATGCTTGGGTGAGATTAAACTATGTAAATATTTAGCAATCTCATTATAGCCACACATTATCTACCACTACAAAGTTAACCTAAATTGCTAACATGGGTAAATTTGTAAGAGAAAAATTTGTGACCTTGGTCCTGAGGTTAAAAAAAAAAAGGGAGATTGGACGGCTTCAGGATCAGCAGCAGAGGTCAAATATGAAGTTGGCACAGATATATACCCTTTTTTGAAATGCACCCCTTCGGATTAAGTAAAACTTCCAAGAACAACAGAAATAAAAAGCACTCAAGCTTTCAAATGCCCTTCACCCTCCACAGCCATTCTGGAAAAAAAGTCTACTTCATTCCATATTCAAACTCTATTACATTTGTACTTTGAAGGGGAAAAACTGAATAGGATGAAAACTGGAAGAAAAAAAGACAAACTGAAAAAAAGGGTGAAACTCTAGGAGCAACTACATTAAGGTACAGAGTACGCGAAAACACAAGGTTTTATTCCAAAGAATGATTTTGTTTCTACCGTCTTCCTAACGTATTTAATTTACACGTCTTAAAATAGAGACCCCGAGGAAAGCAGCTTGAGGCAGGGGAAGGAAGGGGGGCGGGTTAGGTAAGAACAGAGACTTGTGAGAAAATATGTGCGGTGCATTAGAATGTGCAATGGAGGTGGGGTGGTGGGGGATGCTGGATTCACCCGCAGGAAGCAGTTGAGGGCTTTATGAGTAGAGAGGCAGAATCAGATGTGGCTTAAGGGACGCCTATTCACAGCCAGAACGCACACCAGGTAAGGGGACAACCCAGCCTAGACACACCAGCCCACCGAGTATGCAAACGCCTAGAAGACCATTTAAACCAGTCCTATTGTCTGGAGTATTAGATGGAAATTCCTCCAGCACGAGATCAAGCTAACCTGACATCGAATTAGAGTCACTGTCGGGCAAATGGAGCGAGAGAGGAGTGGACAGTGGCCGTCCGGGCGTTCTTGGCCACCGGGGTCCCTTCTCCGCGGGGCTGGGAGGGGCGCCGGGGTCACCCGGGCTGCGCGACGCCCCGTCCCGGGAGTCCGGGTGCAGGCTGTCGGGTCCCCTCCACCGGACAGGCGGCGACTCTCGCCGCGCTGCCCGGGAGCACCGAGACTTCCCCTCCCACCCCACCCCCAGTCGAAAGCAGGGAAGACGCGGAACTTGGGCTCCCCAGCGGAGGCCACAGACCAGGTCACGGCCCGGGTGGGAGACTCGGGACGAAATTCCGTGCGGCCACCGGGGGCGGCGCAGGGAAGACACAGCCCCGGCTGATCGGGTTTCCGATCGGACGACACTCGCGTGCGGGTGACCGGGCCCCGATCCCCTCGGCGCGCACCGATCCCCTTGCACCTCCTGGGTCCTCACAGTCCCGGCCCTTACGCCCGCCCCAGCCGGTGACCCCGGCCTCTCCGGTGCCCCCCAGCCCCGCTGCAGCTGCCCCTCTGGGTACAAACAGCTCCTCTCCCCAAGCCCTCTCCCCGGACGCTCCCGCTGAGCCCCGGGCCGCACCTCCGTCTTGGTGATCCGGTGCCGCCCCAGCTTCACCACGGCGAAGTTGCCCTTGCCCAGCGTGCCCTCGATGTCGTAGAACCCCACCCGGACCGGCCCGCGCTGCAAGTGCCTCGGGCCATCCGCCATGACCATGCTGGGCCCCGCTGCTAAACACGGCGGACTGGAGCGCGGGCGGGCGGGCTGTGCGGCGCGGCTCGGCTCGGGCGACGGCCGCTCCGCTTGCTCCTTGGCTCAGTCCCTCCCGCTCCGCTGGGCCCAGCCAGGCG